GACATCCCCCGAGGGGTCCCAGATTGCGAGAGGGTGCAGGCCAGGCGGAGGGACCCCACCGGTGCATGAATCCGTGCACAGGCCTCTAGTAAATTGATAAATGTTTATGTTAATGGGAAAGGATAGGACTAATAACATCCACACCAAGGTCATAACTGATAAAACATAGAGCTGGTAGAAAATATAACAGCACTCATAGAGCTTAACAGGCAGCACTCAGGTCGACAACAGTTGTCTGGATCTCAGAAATAGTTTTTTCCCCCCCCCCCCCCCCCCCCAACACACACACACTTTTATCTAATTTAAGGCATTCTGTAATAAGCATACATTATCTCTAACTTTAAAAAGTTTTAAAAATACTTCCATGGACTCGGGCACACATGGACTAAAATGCATGTCCTGTGGCTCAGTCTTTCGCCCTCTCCACCCGCCCCCTCTGCCTCATCTCCTGGCAGGGGCTCCCCAAGCCCCTTGCTCTCAGTCCCCTGGCTGCTTTCATCCCCCAGGTGTGCGAACAGCACGCCCTCTGCCTGGAGGTCCCTCTGGGAGCCTCTGTCAGACTCCGCCCAGCCCTGAGCTGCGAGGCTGAGCCGGCTCTCACTGCCCTGTGCCTGCCTCCCTCACACCCGCACACTGGTGCCTCCTGCACGTGTCCAGGCTCGGCAGCTGCCTGGAGGGGCTGCCTCCTGTCATCACTGCCCCGTGTGCACTCCGTCAAGGACGCTTCCCCCACGGGCCTGCCCACTCAGTCTTGTTTCCTCGCTGCCCTCCGGCCTGCCCCCCGCATTTCTCGTCACTCCTTTAAGGGAGCCTTTGTGAACGGCAGGCCCCAAAGGAATCAGCGCATGCCTTTTAGCCCCATACATAGTATATGAGGTACCGCCCTGCAGTTCAAAATCCTTTCCCAGGTTGCATCTGGTTTACAGAAGACACTGACCTCTATTTCACCATCGAAAATGCAACTCAGAGACTTGCCCAGGGCCCCGGGGGCGGGGGGGGGGGGGGGATTCC